AAGTTTATGATCTCTCAAATAATACAAGTAAATAAATAAATCAATTGAAATTCAATAAAATTCCTAAAACAAACACAATAATGAAATTCGTACACATTAGTTGCTGCAACCAAAAAACAAAAAAAAACAAAAACGTTTCACAAACACAAAACGACACAAACACCAACTACTCCTACGCAGTGAAACCAGACCTTTTTTTACCACGTTTATGGGCGCCAGTGTGACGGTTGCGGTTTAAAAATAAGGCAACAACCAGTCATAAAAAAAAATTATATATTGGTAAAAGAAAAGGTCGTGGGCGTGGTTTCGATAATTTAAAAAAAGTGCCCGTCTGGCTTCACTGGCAGGGTCAGGTACTCCCCCTATGTGGTCGCGAGGTGGTCGAGCAGGGCCGGGGGGGTTGGACTGTTCACGGGGAGCGCCGTGGGCAGCTGGCTGTGGCGGTGGCGGCGTCGAGGGGAGGCCTAGGCCCTCTTAAGAAGGACGACCGCCACGGTTGTAGTCGTAAAATTGCACCCTGGAAACAACGTCGTCCACATTTAGGTCCAGGTAATAAAATGCCGCCGATTATGAACCCCCGGTATATCGCAGGCTAGCAGTAGATGGGAGCACAGAGAGTAGCTGGCGGGTGTTCATAATCAGAACGGAGTTACAAGGCGGAATGGAAGGCAAGCGTCATAGCGGTGAGGCGCAAATTAAAATACACATGAATTAAAATTACGGCAAGTGTAAAATACTGTTTAAATGTACCAGGATAACTAATTTAGGCTGTGCATTGGTTGAAACATGATGGTGACTTGCGATATTTGATCGCGGTGCGAAATGTATGAGACGCCATTTTGTAACGGTACTTTTGCCAACGCGCACAGCGGCTACATACATTACTTACATGCAAATAACACTAATAACGTGGCAATTAAATAGCTAAAAGCAAACAGCCTGGCATGATCAAATTACACTACCTATAAAACACTTTCACTACTTAAAACTAGGTAACGTTTCAACACTTACCCTTACGGGGTGCAAGACGATACGGAGGTCTCGGTGACGAGAATTAACGAAAAAACTATACGGCCACAGTGCCGGAATTATTATATTATTTTAAAATTTTTCCAAAATGGGATTAAAATTTGCAAGCGCGTACGAGGACACAAAGCAGAGCTTGTGAACGCGGCTGCAGTGGTAGTGTGCGCCTCCCAGGGCGCTCGGGCGGAGAATGACCGGGAGCGCGACGCCGTGGAATGATACCGGCCGGGTAAAACTCTGACGCGAGAGTTGCAAAGCGCATAGAGTAACGAAGCGTCAGAGTGTTTGTTCGAAATACAATATTTTAATATTTGATTTATTATTTAAATCGTTCTTTTAGTTTACTGATTTGTTTTATTAATAGGATACCTAAGTTAATTATAGAATTATTTTTGTTAATAACTTTTATTTTAATTTTTATTTAGTTTATTAAATGTTTATTTAATTTTAATAAACCGTTTAATTATAATTATGCATACATGTACGTGCAACGTTACAACATCTCGTCTATGTTACGTCGATGTTCAGTGCCTAAACCAAATCTACCCTAAAATGAATTTATAGCGTTAAAGAACCTACGCAACAAACACGAACTTACGATTCTCCGCGCAGATAAGGGAAACGCCACGGTAGTCATGCATACGTCAGATTATAATTCTAAAATACAAGAACTTTTGTCGGATGTAAGTACTTATAAAAAGGTTAAAAGCGACCCAACAAATAGCACACTAAAAACAACTAGTGACCTCATAAAGAAACACTCCGAAAAATTAAATCTGGACGTAAAATGGATAATACCTACGTGCGCCAAGTCATAAAATTGTATGGGTTACCAAAAATACACAAGCCCAATGCTCCATTACGTCCCATAGTGAGCCAAATCGATTCACCAACTTACAGATTGGCTCAACACTTAGCGAAAATACTCTCACCACTCAGGGGACATACAAGAGCACACATAAAGGATTCCTACCATTTTGTCAGCGAGATTAAAGACCTACATCTGGCAGACAATGAAACTATGGTCAGTTTTGATGTGCAGTCATTGTTTACATACTTACCTGTTGAAGATTTCATCTCAATTGTAACTAGAAGGCTGGAAGAAAACAACATGCCCCTAGAATATGCAGTATTACTCAGACACTGCCTTACATCTGGCTACCTATTGTGGAAGGAGGAGTTCTACAAGCAAGTAGATGGTGTGGCGATGGGCTCACCTGTATCTCCCATTGTCGCCAACATATTCATGGAAGACTTTGAGGAGAAAGCCCTGCTTAGTTCTCCCATAAATCCAAGGTTCTACAAGCGGTACGTAGACGACACTTTCACAATTCTACCTTTAGATAAAGTAACTGCATTTTTAGACCATCTTAACTCTATAAATTCTAAAATTCAGTTCACAATTATGTATGTATAGCATATATAAAATCATAACACTCCTTTTTAAATTTACTTCAATCGTATAGTCATAACCACACATCCTTTTTTATATAAGTGAGTATAAACGACTATCTGGATCACCTGATTGTGACTACCGCCTCGCTGCCCATGAACAACTGTAACAATAAGGTAATTGCATTTACGTTGCCGGCCTTATAAAAAACATTAGGCTCTTTTCTTGAAGGGAGCTGTGCGAGAAAGACAACTTCCAGTTAATCACATAGTGGTGGAACAATCACCAATCATCCATGTGGTATGGATTTTGAACGTGAGTTTTGTCGCGATGTTCGATGTTGAAATTTAGCTGTGGTTTTTAGTCCAGGAAATGAGACAGATGTGTTCTCTTAGACAGAGCTCGGATGACAGTCCGATGTCTATACATTTAGTGAGTACGTTATACAACAACAGTACGTAATTATATGCTTTTTGCTAATATTTTACAACATTACGTGATTACTTGACTACGTGCCACACTACACAGTGGCTGGAATTAGTGCAAAAAAACATCTGAGCACTCCCCATGAGCCATGCTGCAGTTATATCAGTGGTAGTACGAATGGGTCGGCTCGACCGGGGAAGGACCACGCTCTCACAGAATACCAGCGTAAAATAGTAGCTTAACGCTGCTGTGTTTCATATAGTGAGTGTAGGGAATCGGAGACCCTTTTTACTAAAAATGAGGCATTCCATCTTAGTCCTCACGGGTGATAACGCATCTGCATTTTGATTCTTAATCGAGGATCTGTTTTAATCTGTTTAGCAATGCATTGCAGAGCAGAAGGCCGTGAGTACGAAACTCGTTCAGAGGAAGTATTTGTACATATGTCAATCAGTCAGTACGGTTTATCAAAGTCTACAGCTGAACATAATCTTCATAGATTATCTCATGATATTTGCCACAGTTGCCACGTCAGGCAGGTGGATTGACAACTGCAGTTTTTTTACATAGGATACAATATGGGATGATAGATATTCCACCACTACACTATCAAGTTAATACTATTTCGTGTGGCATAGAAATAATTGTTCATGGTCAGAATATTTATCCTTGAGCAATCAATTTCTGTTAACTGCCTCCACGATACAGGAGAAAATCCTGGTGTAGGTTTTATTAAAAATAGTAATAATAATGTTATTGAAGTGAAAATCACTATACGGTATTTTCATTGGCGGAAGAGAATCCAAGGCTTATATTATTACTTGAATATCGCAAGAGGCTCTATTGTCGAGTTTTAAAAAGATTTCATGACTTATGATTGAAGTCGATTTAACTATCTATTTATTGTAGTAAAAAGTAAATTCACAACCTATACACGTCCCGAACGTATTTTTGGGCGCAAGCAAAATTTTATTAAAAATTTTCTTAAAACATCTATCTTTTATTGCATATCAGTTTTTACATATAATTAAAAAAGTGATGAAGAGTTACTTTTATTCTTTGGTTTGACTATACAAAAGTTAATATATCAAAAACTACTTTGAACTTGCAACTGAAACCGTGCCACATACAATCTAGTTCAACATCATCACTACCTTAAGCTCCAGAAGTATTCATTTTCGACTAAGAGATAACGCAAGTGATTGAACCGTTAAATATTCATACGGAGACGTTCATTTGCACCTACAATTTGCTTGCTTGAAAGTAATATTATTTTCGCCTTCCTGTGAATCGATTTCGCTAAACTTAGTCCAATATACATACACTTTTTGCTTCATTAAAAAATTATACAGAACGTGAGCAACCCAGGTTTGATCCCCGCTAGTATCAATTAATTACAATTTCAAGTACTAATTTACCACGTGGTTAACGATAAAGTGGTTATGTCATGTAGTGGTGGCACAGGAGAATCTACCTGTGGGTGTCGTAAAAGGCTGCAAAGCAAATGAAAACAAGAGATGAGCAGCAGCATGTTTCTGATAAGATACGGTTCTCGAGCTGTCTGCCGGGCGTGGAAATATATTCCGATATTCATCCCATGACCCAATCTATGGGGCCAATGTATATTCAGTAGCATGGTGGTGTAGGAATAATAATAACAATAATAATAAGAAGGCGTAGGGAAGTGACGACCCCATTGCTCGCTTACGTAATAGTTATGTGACAGAACTGCTACCCTACCAAGAGGTGTGAGCGCCGTGCCTAGGCAAAATTGTGGATGCAAAGGTCCGTTTGTGCATATAACCGAACCGCGAAACGGTGCCGGGCTTGGGCGTCTCCCGTTATTTGGCGCCCATAAAATGGATGATATCACAAAGGGGAACGCGCATAGGGCCGCTGCCTGGGGGTCGCCGGGGCGCGTCTGGAGCTGGCGCTGGACGCGGCAGTATGCGGGCCGCCAGCCAAGCGCGAGGAGCTGCACGGTCATCTAGCAGCCCTTCACATCCATCATCTCCACCAGAAGGCTTGGCTGGGTCTTCACGGACCCAGCAAGCGGCACCCGCCGCTGGTGGAGCACGTCGCATGCGTTGATGGTCACAAGCAATGAAGGCAAACGCACTGCGGGCGTACTTTAGGATAAAATGATAAGGATAGGATGCGTCGTATTTTTGCTGAGCTGGAGCCATCTTTAATCGTCACCGAACAAAACCTGGCAGACCGAGTTCGGTATATCTTGCGCTCAAATATATTTGATGTCGCCGAACACGAACTACTACGACGTGAGGCCGTTCCCTCATCGGATGAAAATGCTACGGCTGAGGATACGGTGCCACAAATTGCAGAGCAACCCACAAACGTGGATGCCGCCGTGAATACCCCAGTTGTGGTTAATTCAAACGATGATGATGATGATGAGTACATTGGAAGAGGCGATTGTGAAAACGTGCAGTACGCCTCTCGAAAATCGACCGCGACTACCCGCATAGCTCTAAGCAAGCGAAATCGGGTTGTCGTGAGGGCTCTGAACCCAATGCTGGTGACATATTTGGAAGCCAGCCGGGACCTTTGCGAGACTAACTCAATTCTTTTTGGCGCCGCACTGGCAGTATGTCGCATTATAGGCGCCAAACTTTCCACGGCTGGACGCGCTACTGGACAAAGTAGCGCTATCCCAGACTGGAAAATAAGAATTGTAGAACGTATCGCAAAGGCTAGGGCCCTCATCGGCAGACTGATATGCTTCAGGTCAGGTAATAACAGTCCGAGGATTGTGCGCACCGTCAGAATGGCATTTGCTGGGACAAATGTTAGTTTGTCCCAGCCGGATATAATGCAAAAACTGACGGAGCGCATAGACGACCTGAAGCAGAGAATCGATGTTTGGGGAAAGCGGATTCGGCGATATACCGAGAGGTTGACACGGTTTAATCAGAATCGTCTCTTCCAGAGTGATCAGAAAAGGCCCTATGAATCATTTGAGCGACCAATGGTAAGAGGAACGGGCCCAGCACCGAATCAGGCCAACTCTGTAGCATTCTGGCGCGGCCTGTGGTCAGAGCCCATAAACCACACCGAGGGCCCTTGGACGGAAGTTGTGGCGAGTCAGTGTGCGAGTATTATGCCCATGGAACCCGTCGCAATAACGCCGGATGACGTAGCAGAGGCGGTCTGTAGAGCCCCGAACTGGAAAAGTCCGGGACTCGACGGGCTGCATCACTACTGACTGAAGGGGTTCATGGTGTGTCACGCCGTGCTCGCCCGTCAGTTTCAAGAGGCTCTCAACCAGAAGTCACTCCCTAGCCTCTTCACTACTGGGATCACCCATTTGGTTCCTAAAGACCAGATTACCACAGACCCGAGCAAATACCGCCCCATCACGTATCTACCGACCATATACAAGACACTAACATCTGTTTTGAGCGCGAGAATTACTCGTCACCTGGACTCAAATCAGGTAATGTCGCGTGCTCAAAATGGATGACGGGGCGGTGGTCGTGGAACCAAGGAACCACTCCTCATTGACGCGGTCATTGGCAAAGTGGTGAAACGTAACCGTCGGAACTTCTCCGCTGCCTAGATAGACTACAGAAAGGCATTCGACTCGTTACCCCATACATGGATAAAGAGGGTCCTCGAGTTGTACAAGATTGACTGTACAGTTAGATACTTCTTCGAGAAATGTATGGGGCGATGGAGTACGATCCTATGTCATCTGGGCGAGCGGATGACGGCTGCGGAAAGCCGCATAAGGATAAGAAGGGGTGTCTTCCAGGGCGATTGTCTGAGTCCAATCTGGTTCTGCCTCTCTTTGAACCCTCTTAGTACATTACTGGAGGGCTCCGGGAGTGGATTTCAGTTTCGGAAAGGAGATACAAAAGTGAACCCATCTTTTCTATATGGATGACCTCAAGTTATTCGCCTCCAATCGCTCCCATCTTATGGAATTGCTAAATATCACTTGTGAATTTAGCATTTCTATTGGAATGGAGCTGGGAACGGATAAGTGTGCGGTCCTCCATGTCGAAAGGGAAAGGGATGCTAACTCTGAGGGCATAGACTTATCTATGCCCGTCAACTTGAAGACCCTTTCCGAGGCTGAAACATACCGATACCTGGGTATGTCATAGAACATCGATATCGATGAGGCTGGTATGAAACAGTCTGGTTGCGACGTGTTGTATGCACGCTTGACCAAAGTGCTTAAAAGCCTTTTGTCCGGTGTGAATAAGACACAAGCATAAAACGGTTGGGTCATGCCTGTCCTCATGTATACCTTTGGCATACTTAGGTGGACTCAGACGGAACTTAACGCCCTGGATAGAAAAGTCCGCACTACTATGATGTCCCATAGGATGCATCACCCGAGGTCTTCGATTATGAGACTGTACTTGCCGCGGAAATATGGTGGGCGTGGCTTATTAAGCGCGCTTACCATGCATAATCGCGAAGTGCGCAGGCTCCGTAATTACTTTCTGACGAGATCGGATGATCCATTCTATAGGGACGTCATTTGTTGTGATAAAGGGCTTACCCCTCTATTCTTGGCCAACAAGCAATGGCAAGAACCGGCAGTACAGAGCATTTCCGACCGGGAGACTGTATAGAAGGAGAAAGAGCTCAAAACAAGGCTCTACATGAACCTATCGTAGACACAGTCGCCTCCCTCAATTGGCTACGTTTTGGTGACCTCTTCGAGGAAACCGAAGGTTTTGTCTGTGCGATACAGGATCAGGTTATTAAGACCAACAAATATCGGAAATAAATCCTAAATGAAGGCACCGTCGACTCATCTGCCGAGCATGACGCCATCCCGGTGAATCACTTGGGCATGTCATCTCCGGTTGTTCGGCGCTTTCTAACTCTGAGTACTTGCACAGGCACAACCTAGTAGCCAGAATTCTACACCAGGAGTTCGCTCTGAAATACGGTCTCGTGGACCGGAAACTGCCGTATTGCAAGTACTTTCCGGAAGCCGTGCTCAAAAATGACCGCGCCCGGCTCTACTGGGACCGGGCCATCATCACAGACAGGACTATTCTTGCGAATAAGCATAATATTGTGCTGATGGACTAGACACAGTCAAGGATATTTTTGGTCGACTTTACCATTCCGTATGACGAGAACCTCGTGAAAGCCGAAACAGATAAGTGAACAAAATATCTGGACCTGGCTCACGAGATGACCGACATGTGGGTTGGGCTGTCGACCAAAATTATACCTGTAGTCGTTTCTGCAAACGGGCTAATCCCAGTCAGCCTCTCGGGTCATCTGAGGCGACTGGGACTCCGTGACGGACTGCTCCGGGCTCAAATGCAGAAGGCTCCTCGATACTGGCCGCATTTTCCGCCGGTTTCTTTCCCTTTCCCCCTAACCCTCGTCCGTTTGGTTTCCCCTGCCCTCGGCACGGGAGACTCTCCATCTGGTTGGCCTATTATTTATTTATGTATTTTTATGTATTTATTTTATTTTATTGTTATTTATGCATATTTATCATTTTCGTTCGCAATTATATATTTTTGGAACCCAACCAGAAGATATAAATTTGGGGTATCTATATATAATTATATTGATACCCCAAAATAATAATAATATCTATCCTCCAGACCGAATTTCGGTCACGACGGCCAGTCTCAAAAGCGAACATCCATCTGCGCAGGAGAGGATTTTAGAGCCCGAGTGTATGCGCAGGCACAAGTACCCTCACTATTTTCTCACTCACGTAGTACGAAAGGACGGCAAACCGACACGACTGGAGAGAGATTAGGCGCAGGATCAACGGCTTTACGTGCATTCCGAGGCACGAGGGTAAAATACCGCCCACTTTCTTCCCCGTGCAGTGAGTGTATATATATATATATATATATGAGATATTATTAATAGGTAATTCTTGTGTCCGTATTTATGCGACTGAGAAAGGCTTAGATTCACATTTGGACCCGGTGGGTGGTGCTGTTGTCGAGATTCAGAAATCACCCGTGCGAAGCCAGGCGGATTGCTAGTATATTATGTATCTTTACTTTCATGTAATAAATGTCTTTAGAAAAGTTACTTAAGTATTATATTGTTTATTGTTAAATTAGCATCATGGTTGGAGTCTTAATTTGATATGTTCGTAGAATTAAAAATTAGGAATAAAATTAAGAATTGAAAAATGTGATCATATTTAATCTGTATCATACTTACAAAAGTTTTTTCCAACTTAGAGTGTCCTCAAGATAGAAATTAATCCCCATTATAGTAGCGTGGTAGAATCACGATGCAGCTATATTATGGTTGTAGCACGAATGGGTCGACTCGACAGGGGAAGGACCACGCTCTCACAGAATACCAGCGTAAAATAGCAGCTTAATACTGATGTGTTTCTTATAGTGAGTGTAGAGATCCGGAGTCCCTTTTTTACTGCTTTTTGATTCTTAATCGAGGATAAATGAAGATGTCTATGGCCTACAGCATACACTTACCATCAGGTGCACTGTGTGCTCGTTTGTCACCCTTGTCTTTAAAAAGAGGACCTCAAAGTAAACTACGCAGAAACTGTATGTACCTATATTTTTGTTCTGTTTCATTATTCTGCAGAAGTCATTGCTAGACATGGACCTGTCCAAGTGTAGGGCGGACTTGCTTTAGTAGTTACACTCGGCATCCCGACGGCGGATGCTGCAGTACGTATCACAGACTGTTACTTTATATTCTACTGTTCTATTCCGTGTTATATTTTAATGACTTTTTCTTAGTAAATGCCCTAATGGCATTATTTAGATTAAATAAATAGAGTAGGTTCTTGATCAGACAAAAGGTCAAGGGTGTCATCAAAATTTTATTAGCCTATAACCGAATCACTAAACGGTATTATCGGAGCCTCCGGACTTTAAGAAAAAAATTATCTTTGAGCTGCACACAACAAGCTGTTCTTTGCCTAGTGTTGTTCTCTACATATTTTGTGCTATCTTTTTTTCCTTAATTAATGGTTAAGGAAGTTAACTTTATGTTGCGTTAATTAAGAACACATGTGTGAAAGAGAAGAAGAGACAACCGGACTTCGACGTAGTTTAACGGAGACTGAAATGCCCGCCACTGCTCTCCGTGCCATCAGTACGAACCTACTGGTAATCAACCGGCAAAAACATCTTTAATTCAAGCTCTTTACGTGGTCAAATTTGCATGGTAAGATTTATCATATGTAGTTGCCATTCTATTCAATTTTTCGTTTTTTATTATTTTAATTTGTAGACTACTCTTATTTTTAATTTACATGGAAACCTTGTAGAAAAATTATTTATACAAATATTTATTAACCCCTGCAGTAACTTAGCATCAGCTTGCTATCATAATCCAGACAACTTAGAAGTTTTTTGTAACAATACTAAAAATATATCATTTTTAAAAATTTATTAAGACATGAAGGTTGCAATCCAAATTTTTACAAATAAATAAATATATATTATTTTTACAAATAAATAATAATGATAAAATTAATTTTATGGTCTTATATCAACACAACACCACCTACGGCGTAGCTGCTGTTTTAAAGCTACAGCTACAGGGTAGCTGTTGTTGTAGAGAATAGCTGTAGCTTCATTACATTATTATCCTGCTATGTACCACTTTCAGCGCTAGACACATTTTGTGTTGCTAAAATAAAATGTAATATATGGTTCATGGAACTTAAGTAATCTAAAATTTATAAATTTTTCGAGTTTCAATAATTTGTAACCATATAAATACAGCTAAAAAAATCTCTCAAATACTGAATAATGTTGAGAAAGTTTAAAAATTTATAATTAATCTTCATTACCAAGACCGTTAATAAATTAGGAAGTAAATTAATGAACTGCAAAACTTGTCACACTCCAAGTGGACTAATTACAAAAGACATTTTGATCCCATTAAAACAAAAATTCATTTTTGTCTAAGCTTCTTATATTCCATAAATTATTCAAGAAAACAAAGAGCAAGAGATTTCAGGTTATATTGACGTGAATACGTCTTTAAATTTGCTTCCATAAGGGGAGATAATTGAGAAAACTGGTGATAACGAAATTGAGGAATACAGTTTAGTGTTGCAGCAACGTATCTATTCATCTATGTCCAAAATTTAATTACACCACTCGATAGCTAAAGGATCAATTTATTCGTTACTTTTAGTGAGGAATGTGAAGCAACACGCGCGGCTGAGGAGGTAGAGCCGCCATTTTGTGGTTAATTCGTTACGTAGTCGTATTC